AGATCACCGCAATAAAGCGAATATCACAATAAAGTGAGTCACATGAATGTTTTCGGTTTCCCAGTGTATATAAAAGTTATGTTTACTCTCTACTGTAGTCTGTTAAGTGTGCAATAGAATTATGTCAAAAATAACAAAACAATGTACATACCTTAATTTAAAAATACTTTATTGATAAAAAATGCTAATCATCTGAGTCTTTGGGGAGTCATGATCTTCTTGTGGCGGAGCATCTTGTCTCAGTGTTGATAGCTGCTGACTGATCAGGGTGGTGGTTGATGAAGGTTGCAGGGGGGGGGAGGCTAGCAATTTCTTAAAATGAGACAATAATGAAGTTTGCCCCATTGATTGACTCTTCCTTTCATGAACGATTTCTCTGTAGCACGTGATGCTGTTTGACAGCATTTTACCTGCAGTACAACTTTTTTTTTTTCAAAATTGGAGCCAATCATCTCAAACCCTGCCACTGCTTTTTCAACTAAGTTGTGTGATACTCTAAAATTTTGTTGTCATTTCAACAATCTTCACAGCATCTTCACCAAGTATAGATTACATCTCAAGAAACCTCTTTCTTTGCTCATTCACAAAAAGCAGCTCCTTCATTAAAGTCTTCTCATGTGAGTTGCAGCAATTCAGTCGCATCTTCAGGCTCCACTTCTAATCCTAGTTCTCCTGCTGTTTCCACCACATCTGCAGCTACTTACTCCACTGAAGTACTGAACCCCTTAAAGTCATCCATGAGGATTGGAGTCAACTTCTTCCAAACTCCTGTTAATGTTGAGATTTTGCCCTTGCCCCATGAATCAAAGAAGTTCTTAATGGGATCTAGACGATGAATCCTTTTCAGGAGGATTTCCATTTGTTTCACCCAGATATAACAGAGGAATCGCTCTCTATGGCAGCTATAGCCTTATGAACTATATTTCTTAAGTAATAAGAATCAGCTGCATTAGCTCCTGACAAGTGAGTCAGCCTGTCCTTTGAAGCTTTGACAGTAGGCATTGACCTCTCTCTGGCTATGAAAGTCCTAGATGGCATCATCATCCAATATGAGGCTGTTTAATGTACATTAGCAATCTGTGGTTTAGTGTAGCCACTTCATTGATTAGCTTAGCCAGTTCTTCTGGATGACTTGCTGCAGCTTCTACATCAGCATTTGCTGCTTTTCCTTGAACTTTTATATTATGGAGATGGCTCTTTCCTTAAACCCACCTCTGCCATCTTCAGACTTTTCTTCTGCAGCTTCCTCACTTCTCTCAGCCCTCATAGAATTGAGAGTTAGGGCCTTGCTTTCTGGATTAGGTTTGGCTTATTGGAATGTTGTGGCTGGTTTATCATCTCTCCAGACCACTAAAATGTTCTCCATATCAGGTGTAATCATCCGTGTGCTCACTGGAGCAGCACTGTTAGTTTCCTTCAAGAACTTTTACTTTGCATCCACAATTTGGCTAACTGTTTGGCCCAAAAGGCCGAGATTTGGGCCTATCTTGGCTTCCAACATACCTTCCTCACTAAACTTAATCACCTTTAGCTTTTGGTTTAAAGTGAGAGGCAGGCTCATGATCTCATTAGCAAGGTAGGCCGTGGTCACTCCTGTGCTCCACTGCCCCGCTCTTTCTCTGCACACCATGTGTGCGAGAACTTGTCATCTGAGAAAGAGAATCCTGAGAGGGAGAGCGAGGTGGAGACATCTTTTCAGCAAACAAAAAGGGGCTCATTAACGTTTCAGGTGACCCCAAATTAGAATAGGAAGTGGTCCATTAGTACAACCCAAAAGGACTAGCTGAGCTCTAAATGAGCATAATTGGAATGGACAAGAGCAGGGCTGGGATAGAGCCTGGGGTCTCACACTGCAGCTGCCTGGGGAGTCCTTTCCATTGTCATCTCTGTGGACTCTCAGTCTCCCTCCAATGAGGCAGCAGTGAAGTCTCTCTAGGCTTCCAGGCCTTGTTTTGCTTCTTTGCCTTCAGGCAATGGGTATCATGAGCCCCCTCGCCTTGGCCTTTCTATGCAGACACTGGGGACACTGACTGCCCCGATGATGGCCGTCACACTAATGCTCACCCACCTGAGGTCACTACCCTCAGAGACCTCAATCCCAGAATATTTCTCCATTCCAACAAGAGGAAAAGCAATGCCATGCTCCTGATGATAAGCCTAGAGCACTGTAGGACCCAGTGCTCCTAACTCACTCAAAGTAGTAATCACTTCCCATGCAACTTCCCCATAATGTGTGCTTTACTAAACTTTAAAAAAAATCTTTGAAAAGTACTGATTTGCACTTTTATATAATAAAACTAGGGGCCCGGTGCACAAAATTCGGGCACTGGGGGGGGGGGGGAGTGTCCCTCAGCCCAGCCTGCCCCCTCTCACATACTGGGAGCCCTCAGGCGTTGACCCGCATCACCCTCCAATCGCAGGATTGGCCCCTGGCCCAGGCCTGACGCCTCTGACAGAGGTGTCAGGCCTGGGCAGGGGACCGCAGCTCCCCGCGGTTGCAGGCTCCGCCCCTGCCCAGGCCTAACGCCTCTGGCCTAGGCATCCAGCCCGGGCAGCGGGGACCTGCAGTGGCAGCGGAGGGGTGCCGCGATCGCGTGGGCTCCACCCCTGCCCCTGCAGGACGCCTCTGGCTGAGGCATCCGGCCCGGGCAGCAGGGACCCGCAGCTGCAGCGGCCCCGCTATCGTGGGCTTCGCTTTAGGCCCAAGCAAGGGACCCCTAGTCCTGGGACTGCCAGCTTCGACCGTGCCCAGCTCCCATCGCTGGTTCCACCCCTACTTCCTGCTATCACTGGCCAGGGCGGCAAAGGCACCTGATTCTCTGATCATGCCCCCCAGCTCTTAGCTCCCCCCTGGGTTTCCAGTCACTGTCAGTGGCAGGGGGCTTCTTCCTGCTTTCCCTTTCGCCTCCCTGCATTGTGCCTACATATGCAAGTTAACCGCCATCTTGTTGGCACTTAACTGCCAATCTTAGTTGGCAGTTAATTTGCATATAGCCCTGATTAGCCAATGAAAAGGGTAGCGTCATACGCCAATTACCATTTTTCTCTTTTATTAGTATAGATTAGTGTAGATTCCAGCAGGGGGTGGAGGGAATATGATATAATAAGATATCACACTGGCCCAGATTTCTTAGCAAGACCTTACAGATTCTCTGAAAAATGGTCTCAACCAACCTTCCTGGATTGTCTTTGCTGTGTACTCCATGTCGTTTCTGCTCCCACTGCCCAGGAAGCCTGCTCTCCTCCTCTCTGGGCAGCACTTTGGGGACCCCTCTGGTAGGCTCCAATGTGGCCTCTATGCAGCTTCCCCCACCCCCTCTATTCCAGAGAGACCCATTCCCTCCACCCACCTGTTGTTATCTTATTAGGCAGTGAAAGGCAAACATACATTGTTAGAATGAGCACAGACCAGGGGCAGGGGAGAGGTATGGAGTGAGTCCCTCGGCTCCTGGTGGAAGCAAAGTGCCCCCTGGTTAATGTCGCTTGTGCATCAGGGCTTCTCTCTCTGAGTCTCGCATAAACCCGTCCCCAGGTCACGCCCCAATCCTGGAGTGTGCAGGGCAGATGTGCAGACGGAACTGAGCTGTGCCCCTTCGCTTCGATGGAAAGGGTGGGGTGTCTTTGTGTGCCTCACCATTCAGACATTCTCCATGGTGCTATTTTTATCAACAGCAATCATGAAATTGGTGTCAGATGGGCTGGTCCAGTTCCTCACCCTGAGGCTGGGTTTTTGCAGGCAGGAGATGTGGTCTGTGGCCCATATGAATGCATCTCTGGTGCCCTAGGCCTCAGAGTGAACCCCTGTAGCCCTGGACCCTGTTCCTATGGCAACAAGCAAGGCTCATCATCACTCCCAGTTCAATCTGGGCCTGACTCACTTAACAGACATATGTTAAGCACATTCTAAACGCTAGTCATTGAACAAGGCACCAAGGATTCACCAAAAAATATTCTCTACATCTCCGGAGAAACTTGCATTTCACCTGAAAGGACTGTCATGTGATGTGACAGCGTCTGTGGCTGTGCGTGTTTCAGAGGCATCGATGGGTCCATGGTGGAGGGAAGATTTGCCCTTCTGGGCCTTGGGCAGCTTCATGGAGGTGGTAACACTCAGCTGGGGCTGCAAAGATAAATGGGATTAAAGGGATAAAAACATGGAAAAAGGAATGCAGGGCAGAGGCATAAAAAATGATTGTAGATTCATCCAAAATACAGCTGTGAATTCAGCTCTCACCTCGAGTCCCAGGCACACACCTGCATGGATCCTCACCGTGGGAGGCGTGGGAAGAGATGCCACCTGCTACTCCCAGGGCGCTGGCCCTTCTGACTCTGGCTTTCAGAATCGGGCCCCTGGGCGCCCCAGCAGGGAGGAGGAGTCTGCAGTGGCGGCAGGGATACAGGATGCTGACGTTAGACATGAGCCAGGGACCTCCCTGCACCACTCTCTGCTCACGGGTCTTACACGGAGAACCTAAGTTCTGAGGAAGGTCAGGGGCCCTCCTTAGCCACAGGAAACAAGGACAGGCTGGCTCTGAAGACAGCAGACTTTTCTAGATTTGAAGTCTTTCGGTCTGAATTATACTTCTTTTAACTAAATGCCTGGAAATTCAGGATGAAATTTAACAGAAAACCCAAGTGGGGAGGAACAGGAAAACAGGGAGAAATATGGCACTGAATGATGGCAGAAAGTGTATTTGCAGATGTTCTTGGCAATCGAGGGCTTGGCACTCTGGTTTTCATTTCCTTTGACCAGACATTCCAAACCCCACCCCCCACAGTCACATGGAGGCACAGCCCAGCCAGCAGGGTGCAGCGGGTGTGGCTGCGAGGGCTCCCTGGTGGGCGGCTGGCTGGAGGAGCCTGGGCGGCCTGTCTGGTTAAGAGCCTCTCGCCATGGGCCTCTCGGAGCCAGGGCCGCCCCTGTGGTCTGACTAGAGTGACAATGAAATTAATGGGACCCTGATGCTGTGACTGAGGCCATTTCCTTGTGTCTCCAACAGGGATGAGAGAGGAAATGTCATTAGGACGCCAGGAGGCCTTTGAAATCTTCAAGAGGGACCACGCCGACAGCGTGACCATCGAAGACAACAAACAGATTCTGAAGCAGAGGTAAGGCCGGCTCAGGGAGCCGCTGGCCCTGCAAGGCTGAGCCCGGCAGCGAGAGGAAGCTCGCTCTGTCCTCCCTGAACTGCCCAGCCCAACTCCTGAAAGGAAGGCACGGCGTTCACTCAGTTTCACAGTGAATCACGTCCACCTGGTACGATTCTCCAGGCATGTAGGCCTCACCCTCCCAGGGCAGCCGGTTACTTACCTCAGGGACTGTTACTGGCATCACTAACTTCCTTTGCGGGTCTCACATTGCACATCCATTCTCATCAGCTTGTGACTCTATCAATATCTTCCTGTTCCAAAGGCAGGGACATATCTAAGGACTAAGTTATAGTCTTAGAACTGCAGGCTCTGCTGTCCTGGAGGGTGGCCCTGCACTCCGTAGTCAAAGAAAGTGAAATGACCAGGCCTGGGGTGTGGGCTCCAGGCCGGAAGCTGAGCCGGCAGCATTGTCTGCTGCTACGCGGTGGGGCAAGGCTGTGTGTGAGCCCTTTAGAATAAACTTATGCTTTGTTTCAGATAAGCCATGAATCAGATACATATCCTAAAGCCGTAGAAAACAGAGTGACTGCCAAATGTATGGGTCTAGAGCTCTAGACTAGGTATATGTCACACGTGACTGGGTCTTAGCACACAGCAACTTCTCAAAACTACTGTTGAATTACAGTGAGATCCAGAATTGAGAGGCATACGCATGAGCAGTGGATGAGCGCTCTCAGACAAACACATGGCCGTGGAAGGGCCTAGCAGTGGTTCTCAGCCTTCCTAATGCCGCAACCCTTTAATACCGTTCCCCATGTTGTAGTGACCCCCAACCATAAAATTATTTTCGTTGCTACTACATAACTGTAATTTTGCTACTGTAAACAACATGTAATTATATATGTGTTTTCCGATGGTCTGAGGCGACCCCAGTGAAAGGGACGTTCGACCCCCAAAGGGGTCGCGACCCACAGGTGGAGAACTGCTGGCCTAGAAGGTGGAACCAGGGGGCAGCTCAAAAGGACAGGGAGAGTGAACGAAGGCCATGGTGGGGCTGAGAAGAGGCAGAGAGAGGCAATGAGGGAGAACCAGGGAAAAATCCTGTCCTGAAAGCCCAGAGGAGACCGCACGTGGCCACTCCGCAGGCGGAACTACCAAGAACTCCTCAGGCAGAGCTGGGAAGCGCACAGAGTCGGCCCCTGGATGACCAGGGGGTGGAGTTTCAGAAGTGGCGAAGCAAGCAGAAAGAGAGCAAACAACGTGTGCAAAAAGTTTGTGATGGATGAAAAACATGTTTATAAGGAAAAAGGGGAGGTAGCCTAAGGAGAAGTCTGTTTGAGGGTGGGAGAGAATTGGCCAAGGCTGTAGGCCACAGAGAGCAAACCAATGACAAGCACGAGAGAAGTGTGGGAAAGAGCCACAGCAAGGCTCCGGAGTGGGGAGTGGGGAGTGGGGTCCGGAGGGGGTTGGGGTTGGGGCAGCTGAGCCGGGAAGGAGCCCTGAACAGAACAACAAAGCAAGATGCGGCCGACATGGACACACTTAGAAGTGGAGGGAGCAAACTGAAAGCACCCACTGCTTTCTCTGTGCAAGTCCATGTAGAATGAGAGACTGGGGGATGGTGGTGAAGGTTTAGCACAGCTGCCACGGGAGGGGGGGAGAAGGCAGACTGGGAAGAGAGAAGGGAACAGCAATGGCCATGAGAGCCAGCTTCCACTATTAACTGACAGCTTCTCCACTTGGGGGGAGGGAGGGGAGGTTGGTGGGGATCTTAGATCACTGGGAACGCATGAAGGTGATCAGAGTGTAACCAGGAGCAACCGACTGGAGCACCCTGCAGCCCTCTTAGTCTAAAGAAGTCTGTGCACCCCCCATGACCCAGCAATTCCACATCCAGGTTTATCTCTTAGGGTTCAGAAGGAGACATATATGAGGATGCCCACAGCTGTTTGTGGCCAGAGAGAGTTGGAAGCCTTCCAGGCATCCATCCCAGGAAAGTAGAGAGGTGAAATGGGGGCGGGGGGAGGGGGGTTGCCATGGGGTCGATGCAGCAAGTGGGAGCCATGGGTTAATGTACACATGCTAACAAGGGGAGACCTAAGAACCCACAATTTATGTAAAATATAAATATATGCATGCAAAACAAGCAAAAATAGTCAAATGAAAAGATACCTTTTAGTGTACTTTAACCATAAGAAGAGTTACGCTTTGTGGGAGCAGAATAGGACCAAGACTCGAGGACATGAATGAATAAATAAATGAATGAATAAAATAATGAGTGTTGGAGAAGCAAGTGAAGCTAGTGAAGTCTGACAGCCGTCTCCCTCCAAAAAATGGACATATGCCCAGCCGCACGAATTTTGGCACCTGTATCCAGGGGTCCCCATCCTCCTCCATGCCGTGGGCCATGGATTTTTAGCAGAGTCAGTGGCCGTGTTGAAGCAGGATACCTTGTTTGTCTGAAGATAAGCATGTCAAGCTAGACGACAGCTGCTTTATCCAATAACAACTTCCAAAGAGCCCTTAGCTGTGTCCCTGCCTAGGACATCATAGCTCCCACCAGGTCCTCATTCCCCTAGCTCCAAGGGACCACGGGGCTTGTAAAAGCGACCAAGGCCTTGGCCTGACTCCCCTCCTATTCTCACTCAGATAGAGCCCCAACATCCATTTGCTTAAAGGCTCTAGCAGGCCACCAGGCTTGAAAGCCACTGCCTAGACAGTGTCCAGAGACCCTGAGAGCCGGAGCCTCTGAGGTGGATCTCAGCACCTCCACAGGCTACACCAGTTCCAAGGGCTTCTCTCGCACACTCAAGCTTAAGAACCACTGGCTGGGGAAGAGCATGCTACTTCATCCTTCTGATTCTAGAATTGGCATGTTTCCTGGTCCTGGTTTGTACCCTTGAGTGGAGGTCTGTGTCCAGCGGGGAGGTGGGTTGGGGTGGGGGCAGCACAGATAAGGATGTGGTGGTCTTTGGAAGCCTAATTCAGGGCTCACTAACCTCTGGCACAGTAGAGTTCTGACAACCTGGGTGACAAATGTGCTTTGTATTGAAACACATCTAAGTCACACAGGATGGGCTCGTAATGCTGGTGGTCCCATCTTCCCCGAGGCCATAGGGCAAGGGAACCATTGAAACTCACACAAAGCTTCCCTCTGAAAAGAGGTTTTCCCAGCAGTAAATCAGTCTTTTCAAGTCAAATGAAAAGTTGGGAGACCTGCCCACATTTTTTTAATGTCACATCTGCTTAATGTTACTGTAATAACAATCATTAAAGGAGTATTTGGTACTGGGGAGTTTAACCTCAGACCTACCCCTTTCTCGGGATGGGAGCTTTTGTTTGCATTATGGAGCCTATTCAATTGTTAGATATGACGTGCTCAGAACTCCTTAAGGCAGGGGACTAAGAGAAAATGTGCATGAAAACACAGAGCTTGAACCAGTGTTCCCACAGCAGACATCAAAATAAGGCCCACAGGTGCTAAAAGGGGTGACCTCCATGCCACCCTCACTTTAGGAACTGGCCCACGGGACCTGGTCCCCTCCATTCCACACGATGCTCCCATTCCCTCTAGTGGCAGGAGCATCGTGTAGAGCATCGTGGGAGGACGGGCCAGTCCCTGCAACACAGACGTGCACCAGCTTGCTCAGGATGCTATTAAATCACTGACTCGACTGACTGCCTAGTCTCTCCTTTCTAATAGTCCTCAGCAGCCTGGGCCTAGTGGCCCAGCTTGCCTGTTTACGTCTCATATCAAGTAACTGTCCCTCAAAGGTTCTGGTGTTGTGACACCATGTTGGCCAAGTCCACTAAAGAGGGACTCAGGACTAATAGCCCCCACACCATGCCTTGGGCCAGCTCGGCCTCTCTAGCCCATTGGGAATTCGTTCTAAGCCCAAATATAGGGATCCCTTGTGATTCCCTCAGTTCCCAAGAGCATATGAGTTGCTCTAGAGTTGCAGGAGGGGACGATCTATGGCATGCACATCTGTGCTACTTGGTAGAAGGGTTCTCTTCCCCTTCTTACCTGCACCCTTTGCTGCCTTCACAGGGGGTTTCTAGCATCTCCCAGCTCTGGCCTCCAGTCTGGGGAAAGCCTCCTGGAACAAGAGAAACAAGACATCACCACATTAGTAGGAGGTTTGCCCTTGCTGATTCAGAGCATGTGAGCCCGCTCTTAGGCCGATTTTTAAAGACAATTGCAATTGAAAAGCACTGCATTTCAGACGTGACTCATTCATCCTCACAGTATAGGATGTGAGGAGAGGCTGGAACCCATGGCAACATGCACCGGTGCCCAAGCACCACACAGCCAACTCTTCCGTGGCAGATCCTTCATACAAACGGAATCCCTCACTCACAGAGCACCAGCGAGCAGCTAAAGAAGAAATAAACGAGGAGATTAACTGCAGCAGGAAAGAAGTCCTTGCTACTGTGAACTAATCCAAGAAAAGCGCCCCTTTACTCAGCTGGATGCTTCAGACACAGAACCTAAACACAACAAATCTCATGGCATCATCTGGAAATAACGTCCATGACACACAGGAGTTCCCTGGTTCCCGTTAGACTTCATGTTTAACTTTATTATTTTTCCACTTGCTTTTTATATTTACACCTGTCTCCTGAACTAGAAATATAAACTCTGAGAGCAGAGAGCAGATTAGACTCTTTTCGGCCCCCCTGCAGTTTTTAAAACAGTGCTGGCCTCAAAAATGATACTCCAAAGCACTCTTTTGCCAGGGAATGACAATTTGAAATTGACTCTGGGAGACCTTGGCAGTCCAGAAAACTGCTGGGCCATGCTGTGTCTCTCTAGAAATAGGAGAATACAGCAACAGGCTTCTGAGAGCCAGGGTCGGGACTTCTTAACGGTAGACAAGAGAAGGCAGCCATTCTGAGGCAGAAATGACATGAAAGAGGAAAATAATATTGGTATTTAAAAAGTGTGAGGGAAATGAAAGGTGCATCTTCATTACAATATGCAGAGGCAGCTGAGGGACTGTGTCAGAGACAAGTCT